TTCTTGTCTGCATTTATCGAATTTTTTTTAACTTTTCGTATGCCTTATAATCCCTTCACACATTTCTTCCATGTGCGCGACAACAACTGGGGCAACTGAGTGGCCAATTAATGTGCGATCAATTTAAAGTGAACTTGTGGCGAATTGGATTCGGTTCCAAGGAGAAAAGGCACAACTCCGCGAAGCTTCACAATAAAAGAACAAGGAGCTCAATATCGCCCGAGGGAACCAGAAAACGTCAAGGTGGGCGCCTGCGACCCAGTAGCTGTATGTCAAACAATGCCAATGCATTTGTAATTGCTAACGATGAACATATATTTATATATTGCCTACTTCCATGCAAGAGCATCGGATTAATGTAAGTCTTGATCTGAACCCTTTAGGGTGCAGCCTCTAGCAGGTCTAGAAATATACCTATTTTTTTATAATGCATCCGGCGGTGTGTTAAACTTAGTCGGCGAACTCAGTGGCAAGATTGCTTTCCAAGGTGTGGAGAAGTCGGGAACATGCTACATTTCGGATCGGCCGAATTTGAATCTTCTTGGCTTCGACTGGATTGAAAAGTTGAACCTCGTCGATGTTCCCTTGAATCAGATCTGCAACCTAGTTCGAGCAAGTCCAGACCCATCTGCAAAGTCCGTCGAAGACATGACACGTACCCTAAAGCGAAAGTTTGCTTCTGACTTTCAGGATGGCTTGGGCCACTGTACGAAATTCATGGCAACTCTGAACTTGCGACCAGGCGCTAAACCAGTGTTCAAGGCTAAAAGACCGGTACCATATGCAGCCATGTCAACCGTTGAGCAAGAGGTCGATCGACTGGAACGTGCCGGCGTCATCACAGCCGTCAACTACTTATCATGGGCCGCACCTATTATCGCAGTGAAGAAAGCAAATGGCAAGGTACGCGTCTGCGCTGATTTTTCAACTGGCCCCAACGCCACGCTGGATGACCACCAGTACCCCTTACCTGTGCCGGAGGATATCCTTGCAAAGTAGAATGGTGGTAATTACTTTGCTAAGCTTGATCTATCCGATGCTTACCTGCAAGTGGATGTTGACGATGTCTCGAGGGAGTTGTTGACGATCAACACTCATCGTGGGCTATTCCAATAAAACTGCTTGCCATTTGGTGTGAAAACGGCGCCAGCGGTCTTCCAACAGTTGATTGACACTATGCTAGCGGGTGTTTCTGGAACCGCTGCTTATCTGGACGCTATCATAGTGATGGGTCGAACACCGGAAGAACTCTTCAATCGCTTGGATGAAGTGCTTGGTTGCATACAGTCGTACGGCTTCCGGATCCGTGAGGATAAATGCACATTTTTCACGCCGCTCATCAAATACCTCGGGTTTATCCTCGAAAAGGATGGACGTCGACCAGACCCGGAAAACATCGAAGCTATTAGAAAAATGCCTCCACCCACAGATCTACAGTCTCTGGGTTCCTTTTGTGGGCTCATCAGCAACTACAGCGCATTTTTGCCTGAGATGCATCGCTTGCGTGCCCCGTTAAACAAGCTACTAGCCAAAGGACAACCTTGGAACTGGACAGCAGAATGTCAGAATGCCTTCGAACGCGTCAAGCCACTGTTGTCTTCAAACTTGCTTTTGACTCATTTTGATCCATCCAAAGAGATCGTCCTAACCACAGATGCATCAAGCTACGGGATTGGTGTAGTAATTGCACACACGTACACCGATGGATCTGAAAAAGCAACCGCCCATGCCGCCAGAACCCTTACAAGAGCCGAGAAGAACTACAGTCATATCGAGAAGGAAGCATTGGCCATAGTGTACGCGGTTAAGAAATTCCACAAAATGCTATACGGCCGTCGCTTCAAGCTTCTGACAGATCACAAACCCTTGCTGACTATCTTTGGTTCGACAAAGGGCATCCCGGCCTACACAGCCAACAGGCTACAACGTTGGGCTCTTACCTTAATGGGGTATGATTTCGAGATCCAATATCAGTCGACAGTTTCCATTGGCCAAGCGGATGCACTGTCACGCCTAAGTGATACCCGTCAGCAAGAACATGAAGACACAATCATTGCCTCGGTGGAGATTGAACCAGACGTCAACTTTCTAGTAACTGATGCACTGCACTGTCAAACAGTTACCGCAGAAGCTGTACGAACCGAAACACTTCGGGACCCAATACTCAAGAAGGTTACTCAGTTTCACAAAACAAGTTGGCCACGTTCATGTCCATCTGCCGAGTTGCAACAGTATTTTCAGAGGAGACACTCACTCTCCATTGTAAACGATTGCATACTATTTTCGGAATGAGTGGTTATCTTCAAGACACTTCAGGAGCGCCTTATTCGACAGTTCCACGCCGGGCATCCTGGAATCAACCGGATGAAAGCGCTTGCCCGCAGTTATGTATACTGGCCGTTAATGGACAAACAGTTAGAAGAAATAGCCAGACGCTGCCAAAAGTGTGCCGATGTCTTGAAAGCGCCACCGAAAGCAGAACTATGTTCATGGCCAATAGTTATTAAGCCGTGGTGCCGCATCCATGTCGAGTTTGCAGGGCCGATCAACGGGAGAAGTTTCCTCATTATAGTCGACTCATACAGCAAGTGGCCAGAAGTATTTCTCATGGAGAACACAATCAGTAATGCCACCATATCGAAACTGCGCCAAGCCTTTAGCAGATTCGGCTGTCCTGAGACAGTGGTCACTGACAAGGGCTCACAGTTTAGTTCAGCAGCGTCTAAGGAGTTTTGCAAGCAATGCGCCGTCCAGCAAGTTCGCTCGCCGCCGTTTCACCCACAGTCGAATGGCCAGGCAGAAAGATTTGTCGACACATTCAAGCGAGCCCTCCAAAAATCAATAGGGGAGGGACGTATGGAGTAGGTGGTTGACCGGTTCTTTTTCCTCTACCGATCAACACAGAATCCACAAGCACCAGACGGAGTCTCTCCAGCACAGGTTACGATGAACCGGAAGCTCCGCATGCCTTTCGACGCCATCCGACCGGGCTTGGATTCCTCTGTTGGTGAAAGAAACCGCAGAATGGAACAGGAGTTTAACCGGCGGCATGGAGCAAAGAAGCGATCATTCACGCTTGGACAGAAGGTGCTAGTACGTGACTACCGGGAAGGCCATGCGAAATGGACACCAGGGAAGGTCAAAAGCAAGAGCGGAAACGTCAAATATGACGTGAAGGTGGGAGCACAGGTCTGGCCGCGGCATGCAAATCAGTTACGTCCCACATTGTGCCAGCCAGAACAAGAAAGGCCTACTGACCTCCCGTTCGATTTACTGGCGGAAACTTTCAACCTGCCAAAGGTAACAGTGGACGACTGCACAAGGTCGAGCAACGAATCCAGAACAAGAATATCAGAACAAAGTTCTCGGGCGCTTCTGCCAAGGAGGTGGACCGACAGGCAGAGGACACCGTCCCGAAGACTGAAAGTTAATCCCAGGCTTTCCTCTTACACCTCGGAACATATCTCAGGAGGGGAGGTGTCCGGGAGAAAGTAAGAATTGCCTTGGAAATTCCCTATTTTAGCGATTAATCGATAATGAACGATTATCGCATCGATTTCTAACGTTCCTGCCCTGCTAGCAAATACGGAGGTATACGAAGATTTTTCTTCGTTATACGTGTCCGGACACAGTACGAAGGTATACGAAGGTTTTACGAAGGTAAACTGTGATTTACCTTCGTAAAAGCTTAGTGTTTGCCGCTGAGTGACACGAGGAATACGAAGGTGGTTGTCTGCCAATCGGTTGTGTAGTTTTTGGTGCGCACGTGTATGCGTCTGCCATACGCAACCAATCACAGGACAGACGGACCGCACTTACGGTGGTAAACGAAGATTCTTCTCCGTCAAGACGAAGCGCAGCCTTCGTAATGACGGAGGGAATACGAAGCGTTTCCTTAGTCAATACGAAGGTTTCTCTTAGTAAATACGAAGGCGTTTCCCCGTATTGACGGAGCAATACGAAGGTTTATCTCAGTAAATACGAAGGCTGCTCTTCGTAAATACGAAGCAATACGGAGGTTTTCCTTAGTATATACGAAGGTTTATCTCAGTAAATACGAAGGCTGCTCTTCGTAAATACGAAGCAATACGGAGGTTCTCCTTAGTATATACGAAGGCTGCGCTCCGTAATTACGAAGCAATACGGTGAATTCTCTTAGCACGTACGAACGTCGGTCACCTTACTGAAGAAGCTATACTAAGGTTTCTCTCAATATATACGAAGGTTGCTCTTCGTACTTAGGAAGCCATACTAAGATTTTCGACGCCATGCTACGATTCTTCTAAGTAACTTGCAAGGATGCTCATGCTAATAACGAAGCGAAAGTAAGAGATCACTTAGTTAATGGGCTACCTTACCAAAGGGTAACGTTCACGTGAGGGACGCGATTCAAGGCTTTCGGGAAGCCTACAGGAAGAGGTTTCTCCTTATGGCGTAAGCCAAATGCTCCTAACTAATCGCTATGAAGCTATTAGTATATCACGGTTTCCTTTCATAAGGTACCGGAAACGGTCGTACTTTTGCCGTACACGGCCCAGTGAACGTTTTCAAAAATGTGGACGCACAATACATGAAAGCAATACGTAAGCAGACTGCTGCGAGGAGTACATTGTCCACTTACCCATAGGGTATTTGCAGCCTGATTTCCCTTCTCCCCGTCCGACTAGGTAACGAAATGACCAGGGAGTAAATACCGCATTTGTGAGTCAGTCAATCCCACACCATTGCAAAAGCTGGCTGACATCTTAATGCAAATGTGAACGAGCGTACGTTATCAGCTACTGCGAAATATGAAACCGCGCAACGTAGTTGTCCCTGTCTTTTGATAAATGAAAGACCATGGCCTGCAGTGCCTTCCTTCCAGTCACGCAGTAGTCGGAAGCGGTAGTCACAATACGCGCCGAGACGGTGACATCGTATCACATATGCGGAAATACCAGGGAGCGCTTGAAGCAAACCAGAAAATGGTTACGAATGTATATTAAAGTGCATGGAAACATTTACAAGTTTGTCCGTGTTTCCTGATTGCTCTGATTGTCTAAATCTATCAAATCAAAAGGCTGTAAATGAAGCCGTTATGTACGGCATTAAAGGTACACAATACCTGCGATTCCTGACTGCTTGATGCGGCAGATGTACGCCGGTGCAGATTGCTCCGGGTAATCTGTACCCATGTGCAAACGCCGTTCGCTACGGCGTTGGCCGTGACCCCAAATCGGTTAACGATAACTTCTGTGAAGGAAGATAAAGTGGGAAAGGTTATCTGAGTTACCTTGAAGCGCACTGAATGTGTGCGTTTTCTTGAACGGTATCGCGTTGTTTGCACCCGCGAAGTTCAGCTGCCTCAAGACCTCTCTGTTCAGAACCCTGTCCAACATGTATCGAGTAGCCTCCGATACCGTGCCGGCGGGTGTACAGTTCATGCGGGTAGTCTAAGTCATGAATGGAAAATCCTGCAAGGTGACTTACCAGTTCTCGACGGAGGTCTGGGTCCACCAATTTACCCTCTAAGTCCATGAATTCCTCAATAGTTGAGGTAGGTAGAGATAATTCATTAGGTTGCATTGGTTTTGCAGTCCACATGGCCTGGCTCATGGCCGCGTGGCTCTCCTTCAATACGTGAAGGGTCTCCTCCACGCGTCTAAGTGAATCTGCTAATTCGTCGCAAGTAAGAAGCTCAAACATACCGACCACAGCGTGCAAAGTGTGCATGACCCTTTTGTCAGATTCATGACACCTGCCTGCCAGGGCGTATATCTAAAGTGCAAAACCGGAAGACTTACAGCATTTCATACCCTCCGTTTGAACGGCTACTTCATTACATCCACCTGTTGCGGAAAACGGAATTACGGAAAAGGGAACTTACGCATGTGGGAATCCTCCTGGACGTCATCAGCAATCTGAGGAGGCATGGTATGCCGCGCCAAGTCCTCCAAGGAGAATTCAGGAAATCTCCCATAGGTTGCAGATGCAGGAGCGTTGCACCGTTTTTTTCTGGTCGGTACATTATCATCCCCGTAATCACGAAGTTTCGCCGGCAGGCGTCTGCAATGCATTGCGTTATCAAATGTGTAGCGCATTACATAACTCGTTTCGGTGATGTTTGCATGGGGATGGTGCAATCGGTGTCCGTCCCATGACGTTGATCCCCGACGGTACTTTCCAGTCGGCGTGCGTCCTCGAAATGCACTGCAAATGATTAAATGAATGTCCTTACCTGTACGATGAAGTACCATCACTGGAAACATTTTGCAATCAGCTATGGGGTATCTGTGCTCCCGCACCGCCTGGTGGTAATCGAACAGTGGAAGGTTGGGCAAAAGAGCATGCTGCCCGTCCTCCAACAGCCATCTGCTGCTTATTGTGTTCACTTGGGACACACCGTCGTGCGTGTAAGTGACAACGCAGTAATCCCACAGCGACATATCTGTAGAAGCCATTACATACGTGGTTACCGTAAGCATGCAACTGCTGGACGCCCCCGGAAAAAGCGGGAAAACAGACAACACATACAACCGCAGACTACAGATGGAACACTCGGAAGTAATCTATGGAAGGAGTATATTTTAATGGGTGTCATCCGTAATGGTTCCAGATACACAACATTAAATCACATCGTGGCCTTCCTATGTTCCTCAGGTCGGGATTGTCGCAAGTTCCCCTCCAATCCATCTTTCCGTGTTGGTTAGTGCAAGGGAAATTACTGACGTGATCTCGCATAACTGGGACATAACAAAAAGCGGCACTTACCGGAGTCTGTGGGCACAAAGGAATAGAGGTACTTGAATACCTGTTATCAACATGGGCCGCATCCTTGAGTTTTCAAAATGTTTGAATTTTTTGGTCTTTTTCGAATATCATTTCGCTTTCTTTTCCGTCTCCAGATAAAGTGTTACCATAAGGATAATGAAATGGTCACATATACCATGCGGATAAACAGGCGGAGTCGGTAAATGCCGTTAGCACCATATGTAAGGGTATCCTGCAGCACGCATACCTTGTGATCATGGCATAGGTCAACAAGACCGCAAACCTACGGCACCCTGGGTTTTTGCGTTCTAAATGTATGCGGCAATGGGATGATGACTTCATCTAAACCAACAGTGAAACATACGCATTTGCATAGGATGTCATGAATAGGAAACCGCCGCAAGTCATCAGACACACCATTAGCAACATAAATATGCAGCCCGGAAGATGGCATACTATGGACGTATAAATCTCTGAGATGTAGGAATGATGCGCAGTTAACATATGCGGTTGCAGCAACGTCCGGTTGCAACGATACTATCTGGTACGGTTTCTTTCCTACGATGATTACGTTGTCCGGTTTGCTTGGGAAAAACACGGTCCCATTTAACCTAAAACCCATTTGCCTATTTATTTCGATGAGGGATATAGTTTCACATAAGTTGGAGGGCTGATTACCATTGCAAAAGTTTCCCTGGAACTCCATACACCGTCGCAAAAGCTGAGGAACGATGTTCACTGGGCTTCGTATTCGCCTTTTCAGACACCTAATGTAAGATTCGAAAGGGAACGCGGAGAAATCATCCAGTGTCCCATGTGCATACGCATCTTGTGCCAAATGACACAGGGAATGCATGTTGAATGTCATTTCTTCAGCCCCATACAGTTTGAAGAAACGCGAAATAAACACCATAAGTACATTATGTGCAAAAGAGCAACATTTTCTGAATAGCAAAGGATGACAAAGCAGATAAATACCTAAATGCAAATCCAAGAAATTGACGTAATAGTCCTGGGGCAAAATATCCGCCAGAACCGCGGGTCCGGCATACAACAAGAATTGCCGAAATTCAGACGCTTTCCACCATCTGAACTTATCTACGCTTCTACAACGGCGTGGAAAATCACGCGGCCAATGACACCGATTCATGTCAAGGACATCGTTAAGACGTGACACAGTGTCCATATCCAAGCGAAAATCCTTGCTAGCGGCGGCAGTTGTCCACAAGGATATCAGGCGCCGCATAACACCCAAGCAAACAGCATGCATATAGTCTATAGGAAACTGCTCCACCATGTCTATGGGCAAGTATTCAAATGGTGACCATTTGCTACGGCAGTGAGCACGGAAGGACTCATTGGTACGTAGGCGGCAATCGGTGCAAGGAAAGGTTACTTTCCCAGAGACATAAACACCTCGCTGCACACATTTGTCGCAGCTGCCGTACCCGGAATGTGCCTTACTACGCTTCACATATGATCTTGCTGGTGCATCACAAATGATATTAGAGATACGCACAGCGTTTGGTGTAGACCGCCCGGGCAACATAACGCCTGTTCGAAGCAACGTTCCCAATTCCGTTACAAGTGGAGCCAAGAAGTGGTGTACATTCCACGGTTTTCGTGGACCCGAGTACACACCAACCAAAAATGGATGCGATATCAAGGGCGCCACAGACCTACACAAAATGGGCCAAACTTGCACACCGGATGAATTAAATGGTGAGAACCCATCCACATGCAACTGCAGGTGAATGCTCTGGTAGGTGGGCACACTTTCGCAACGGTAAGCCATCTTCAGACCGTCAATTATCCCCATGTGACCATACGTACCAGGATGTACCTCCATCTCGTTAGTGGTTCTTGGAGTTTTCATCAACGTCCGGTAATCCTTCGGTAGAGACGGTATAAACTTACGCAACCCTTCCAGAAGCTTGTTAACAGCCCAAGCCGAGGTGTTGGTATTAAGCACCCATGATGCGAGGAAACTACGTGCCTCATCACACGGCGTTGGTGACGTAGTCAAATCTATAGCAGTGCAATCATGCTCCCCTATTTCGCAGCTCATGCTTTGCACGTCATCACTCTCGGTTTCCGTCCTTGGTGACTGAACGGAAAGTACGTCGGGGGATTCGCGTATACGGCGGTTGTGGTCCGCATCTGAAAGGTTACGCGGTGGCGAGACGCAGAAGTCTACAAACACACAAAAAGGTTGTCTGTGAACCTTACCTCCCATAATTGCATCCACGTTACAAGTGGGGCTATGGTTGCGCTCACTGAATGCCTCACGCTCTGCGAGTCTACGCAAAAGCCGCAATCGCATTCTCAATGTGCGTGCAGAAGGTAACGCAAACGAACAACGACGTCTTGTTAAACGACTACGCATCTCTAGAACATGAAATATTAAATGAACAAACGCTTACGTAACGCTGCTTAAACAAAAAAAGGTGTCCGAAGTGAATAACGGACGTACCGACAAGGAGACCAATAGGGAAACCGTAGAGCAATCAAATGACCGCGCACTTCTATTTCCGGGACAAAAAGGTACGCAAACAAACACTGACGTTTACCTTAATGAACACAAATCCACATTATACCTCACTTTATAACCCTTTGACGTTATTATACGTAACATTGATTGTTCAACAAAAAAATTTCTTTGTATTATTTTTGGTCCAATCATACATCTACATAGAAAGTCCACAGACTGCCTTCCTATTGGTTCGTAAATGACGAAGCAAAACGAAGACAAACCTTCGTAAACGTCCGTCATTGACGAGGGTAAACGAAGATTAACCTTCGTTTTGCTTCGTCAATGACGAACGTTTACGAAGAAAAATCTTCGTAAAGGTTCGTCAGCGCCTCGCCATTGACGAAGCAAAACGAAGATTTTGCTCAGTATGACGGAGATTTTTCTTCGTCATGTGCTACCAGGGTGAATGTCCCTCTTCTACACGTGATTAAAATCCACCTGACCTCTCGGGAGAAGATATGGGGAACCACTAACCTTGGCAGCTGACCTTCCAATTCTAGAAGTCGAAGGTCAGTAGAGACCTATAAATACATCCAAGGTCCGCAGTTGTTGTAGTGTTGGGACCGACACATCCGCCACTGGCGCGATTTTGAATGCGGGCTGTTGTTCATGAGGACAACCTGTTCTTGCGTTCTGAAAAAGTAAACGTTTTAATGGAGGAATTTCTATCGCAGCGTGTTTGCAAGGTGTTCAAAACCTCCAAAAATGCAAAAAAGGTTCTGTACCATGCTTAATTAAAAAGTTGACTAAAACTGTAAAAGTTGAAATATAACATTAAGTAAGGCGTTAAAAAGGAGAAGGAGTGTAAAATACAATTTATGTAAGTCCTCGGCATTTATTTCATAGAAGAGTACATTCGCAGAATGTATTGTTAATGTTGCAAGACATAGGGGAGTCGGCGTTGACTAGCTGGCTTATGGTAGTGTGGATTGATTTCTAGTGTAGCTTGCAATTGGCTTTGGTAACCGTATAATGTATATGATGAAGAGAATCCTCGCTACTGGATAGATAAAGCGGTGTGTAAGTGTAATAATTGTAAATGCGGTTTAAAGCTCTCTCTAGCTGTCTATATATATATATATATATATATATATGTGTGTAATAATATATTTATGTATACCTAAGTATGTATGTAAATATATTGCTACATAAATATCTATATATGGATATGTATAAAAACATATATATATATATATATATCTTTGTTACAACGATATGTATATACTGATGCATAATGTGTATAAATATGTATATATATATATATACGTAATAGGAACTGTATATATATATATATATATATATTGCACTGAAAGGCCCATGTGTGTATAAATGCATGGGTTATTGACCACTGTATACAAGATTGATAAGAAAGAACGTAACCGAAATGACCGTTATAAAAGGATGCAGTGTTAGTCTCTGTACTAAAGCATGCTGTTTGCATTATACCTGTGACATAGTAGATGGGAAATATATCCCGAATTATAATAGGTATGGTAATCAAGTGATTACATATGGCAAATGGTTATGCGATAAACATTTGCGGTTTATGAATATATGTATGAGTATATGCATCTGTTTATATATATATATATATATATATATATTTATATACAAGTGTTTAAAAGTCGCAAATGTATATCGCATAACCAATTGCGATATATACATATACATATAAATGGGATGAGCTATTGGTTCGCATTTACCTTTGGCAAGTGCTATAGCCTTTAATCACGCAAGGGAAAAGGAGTTCGCATGACTTGATGGTATGTGATTGCGAAATCCGGTGATTTCTAAGCGGAATAGGTTCTATGCAAGAAAGTCGGTTCAGGAGGCAGTGGGTATGGAGCAATGAATATGGCGTCCTTAAGGGTGACTTACTTAATCGATGGTGTTATGGAAAGAGGGGGAAATGTACAGCTGAAAACGTACCAGCAAAAGCTACGTGATTTCTACGTAAGTGGGTGTAATAACTTGAACAGAATAGTCGGTTTAGTTAACGCTAATGATATACACGGCTATACTTTAGTGTCTTGGATAGCGAGGTAACACAACGTAATACATGGGATGTTAATGTGGGGCGCAAGCTGTTGCCCACATAATGCTGACGTATTTGCATGGCTACATCAATAAATGAACATATCTAAATGGTATATTCTGGAAATGGTGGTGACATGGTACTGAAGTAGGCAATCCCTTGTTAAGGTGGTGTTCGATTATATGACAAGTGCGCGGACGGGACGCTCAAACCATATGCAAATACTCTCGTGTAAGTGGGGAGCGTTCGGAACGCTCATCACCCACGAAGCGAGAATACTGAAAAATGGTTCATCAAAAATCGTGAAGTGAGATTCATTGTATTGCGTGAGCAGGATACTGTCAGGTTGCCCAGGCCTAGACAGGAGAACGATTAGGGTTCTCAACCAAAGCCTTTGGTTCAAAAACGTGTCCGCAAGGCAGCGGGCTTGGCATTGGGCTACAAGGAGTTCGTTTTAAGGAATGAGGTGCCACCCTCATTCCAACCCCCAACCTGGAGGACCAGGAGGCTTGGTTTGTCTGGCCTCTAACCATTGACCAATCTGGTATGAGTGACTCTGAAGATGCAAAAATGCATCACCCAGTATAGCTCAATGGATCACTGAGGTACACAAACCATCGCACCACGGTAAGGTCCAGCCTCATTGCGATGGAAAGACGATGAGCACGTTTGGTTAGACACACTTGCTGATATGGCTAGGACCTGACCTTAGTTGCGTTCGTGCTGTGAGGTTCTTTGTCCCACCCCACCCTTCTTATCCTCCTCCTCCAACCACGATCTCACCATTTAGCCTTATATAATTTTGCATAGTAATTGTTTTTTGATGCACAGTGGCCGGCTGGTAGCTTACCGGAACGATGCCCATCCGTTACCGGTAGCTCAGCCGACTTGCACCAGTTGCATTTTTCCCTCCTTTTTTCTATGTATTGCAGCACAGTAGCTGAAGTGTTCCCCGCCTCTAGCTAACATGTATGTATGTATGATATGATCCGCCGCCATGCAACATACCGGAGCGTCTGCTTGCGACACTCAATAGTCATCGCACCAGTCACTTAATATCCTCGTGGTTGGTGAACCTGTTGGAATCTAGAAGAAATCTCTCGGCTTGCTCTGAGCACAATGTATTGTTAGTTGCGTACTAAAACAGTGCCTGCGTGCTGACAAGGGAGCCTGGTGAACCAGTCGGGCTCAAGGAATGGAGGAAGCAGGAGCATTTGGCAGTTATCGCAAGCTCTTTCAACTGATCCGCATCACTGGTCCCATGAAACCAAGCGTCAATGAAACAATCAGAGTGCGCGCGTGCTCTGATTCACAATAAGGTATGCCATGTGGTTCGTTGCGAGGAGCACTTATGAGAGCAATTCAGTTTTACCCTCTCCATCTAAACCTCTACTTAGTTGTTGCAGGCCGAACCGTGGCCAGTTACTTTAGAGGCTTCATCGGAGGCTGAGCTCCGAAACGCGATCGCAGCCCTTAATGATTTTCGTTCTGCTAGCCCGGATTCGCTCGCACCCACACTATTTAAAGGCGGAGGTAAGGTCCTCTATATTGCACTGATCCTGTTCAAACAGGTTTGGAAGGCAGACCCTCCCGGCTAACTGCAGTGAACCAATTATAGTGGCAATCTACAAGAAAGGCAGTCGCACCGACTTTGCTAACCACAGGGTTATTGGCTTAACGCCGGTGGGGACAAAAGTACTCTCCTCAATTTTCGTTCGTCGCCTCACTGCGGAACAGGAATCCCGGATTAAGGAAGTGCAGGTAGGCTTCCACCCAGGATGTGGCTGTATATACCACATCTTCACACTGAGGCAGGTGCTAAAGCAGCGCCACACGTACTCCAGACCGTAAACAGCTGTGTTCCTCGACATCAAGTATGCGTTCGATTCAGTCGATCGATGTATTCTGTTCGAAATACTAGCGCGGTAAGGTGTTCCCATGAAATGGGTGAACATTGTACGTGCTCTATACTCCAACACTACAGGCCGCGTCAAGGTCTACTGTGACCTGTCGGATAGCTTTCAGACAAGTGGCGTTTGTAAGGGTTGTCTTATTTCCTCATTCTTGTTCAGTTTCGTGGTGGACTCCATCATGTAGTACTCACGGTGTAGACGTTGTGGTGCTGCCTGGTGGAAAGCTAAGTGATCTTAATTATGCGGACGATATTGTCCTGCTTTTTAACGTTGCTAGGGCGGCGCAATCAACCTGGAATAATCTCTAGGTTGGTCCTATCATTTGGCATGCGCTTAGCACCTTTGAATTGCAGGTGCTGTTACAGGGCTATTAGCCATTTGTTGCCACCATGACCCTTGCTGGCGAGGAATTCGAGGTAGTTGATCAATTCACTTACCTTGGCAGCTGTATCAGCAACGATGGACGAATAGAAACTGAAATCAGCCCATGCATTGCAAATGCTAGTCCTGCCTTTTTGAATGTGGTGCGTCAGAAAGGGGTTTCCCTTCGTTTGAAAGACCACCTTTACTACTTCACAGTGAGAGCCGTCCTACTCCATGGAAGCGAGACTTGGCCCCTCCGATCTGAGGATCTGCGGCGCTTTCTATTCTTTGCTCATTTTCGATTGTGAAACATTGCTGGTGTCGGATGACACCAGCTGTCCTCAAGGATGATGTGCGTAGACTAGTGCTTGGTAGTGATAATCAGGCTGGTTCCTTAGAACAACAGTTAGCACTGAGTAAGTTGCCGTGGCTTGGGCACGTGCTATGTATGCCTGGTCGCCGCTTGCCGAGGAGGACCTTATTTTGTTTATCAGATGTAGGATGGCGCGAGGTGGGCGAAAATTAACTTCGCAGTGGAAAATGCGGTCACTGATGACCCAACTCGGTGCCGTCGATCATTCTCGTCTTCCAGGCTGGAGTCCACATGACCTGCCTTGTGCTTGGTTCGAGACGTTACAGAACATGGCTCACAGTAGGCTCCA